TTCAATTTGAAATATCTGACATACAGTATATTCATACTTTTTAGATATTTGAATTTGCATAAAAATTCAAATTTGTGTGTTCATGCTTCGATTAATTTTGCAAAAATAACTTATGAATATCGAAAGTTACATTTCTAAATCATATCTGACAAGATGGAAATACTTGAAAAACTGTGTTTTCTTTTTTTTGTCTCATTCAACAAATAATTGGCAGACTTATACATTACATGCAGATTTTACAAGGTAATTTTGAGCAGAACAGTTTTCTTTGTTAAATAAGCAACTTAATGGTTCTCATCAACTACAGATTTTTTTCGAAATCATGCCATAACAGAAACATCTAATAACTTAACAATGACAAAAATAAATACAACTACGATAAAATACGATTTTTTACGACGGCATATAGAAAATCCAAATTATATAATGATAGCATACCATATATCCTGTTGTCAATAAACAAACTGGCCTAGAGAATGTTTACATAAATTAGTACGAGTTTATTATTATTCTCAACTAGAAAAAGAAAATAAACACAAAAATTTTACTAAGATAACAACTTCTATTTTCTGAAAAATTCTAGAACTAATAGTTATAAAATGATGAAGAATGTCGGAAACTTCAATTAAATAAAGCCATACTAACTTATCAAATTGACATAGCTTTCATTACAATACAGAAAAATACTGAGAGTGGCTTAACTAAATATCAAAACTGTTTAACATCATAATTATTTATATCTTAGATAATGCAGAGTTATTGTAAAAAAAAAAACTTTGGAAAGTCGGAAAAGAAATTGGTTATTTTTTTATTCAAAATCAATTAAAATTGACACGATTTTTATGTGAGTAAAATCTGACTTTTAACTATAAATTATTTGATTTCCTCGAATTTGAAGATTTGTTTTTGCTAATCCGTCTCATCAATTAGTGAAACTAAATCAATTTCAATTGATTTAAAAAAAATACTATTCAAATGACACGAAATAAATAATTTAAAACTAGAAATCAGAATCTAATTAGATGACTATAGTGCTATTTTAATTGATTACCACCCAAGATAGAATTACATTTAATATAATTGTTTTTTTTGAAGTTCTTTTTACATGGGAATAACTCATATCTACTGAATAAACTATAACCGTTTTCTGATCTACTTAAAACGACTCGTCACTGCCTCGCCTAGTATCTATCATAAAAATGATTTTCTTAGGCAATTTCTTAACTACCCACAGCAGTCACTATCATTTTATTGGTGCATACTTGCTTCTATGGAAAAATAAAAAAAGTAAAATAATGATGAAAAGGCTATAGAATATCCAAAGAAATCTAAGTACATCTTCATAGACTTTCGAGAATAGCCTGGTATCCATACGAACGCATCCTATAAGAAGATTTTTTAAACTTTTCCTATTCCTCTTCGCTCAGTTTAACCTACCCTGGACGATTACAAGTGAAAGAAATTTTTATTTTTGTTTAAAAGACAACGAGAATATTGCATGAGAGTTTTTCAAAGGTCTAATTGGTAAACTTCCACAATTATGCTGGTTACTCTGTTTCTAGAAAGCCTTAAATGTTTCTAATTTTGATATATTTGAATAAAGCGCAAACTATTCTATCGATCTATGTGAATTTTACTATATTTCAATCACGTCTCATCGAAATATTTGATCAACTGTAAAAATCACTGAATCAAAACTTTTGCACGCATGTATTTCGGTTAAACTTATGTTATTAATGATCAAAATTGGATTAGATGGTAGATTACTATCCAGCTTAATCATACATAAAACGCATTGAATAGAACTGATTCGAAATCGAGTAGAAAATTAGCCTTTAATACTAAAATTTGGTTCATTTTTATATTCATGAAAAAAAAACAAACTTATATTACTTAGTTCAAAATCACTTCCTCTTCTTAACTCAAATGTGCCTAAAATTATGTAGATCGACGCTCTACATTCATCTTTAAGCGACAAATAAAAGTTATATTTTAAAAGAGTCAAAACTTATTTGAACGACTGTGGGAAGTCATGCATAAAAGAATTTGTACAAAAAGTTCTCAACAAACTAGCAGAGCTTTTTAATAAAAAATAAGGAATAATCTCATTAAAAAAATTAGAGTCGTATAGAAGAAAGAATGGCTTATTGTTATAGCTAAACGTAAAGAGTTTCAATTGCACAGTGAATAATAGCCGTCAACGAAAATATCCCAGGTATGGTTTGAAACTTATTCGATGAAAAAAATTTGTATTGGACACTTTACAAAATGTATTCTAAATTTCGACAAAGTAAAAATAAAAATATAATCTATTTAGATCGATAGAACAATTCGTGGTCATATCAAAATAAAAAGTATTCGAGTTTTTTTTATATAAATCGAGCAAAATCAACGAAACTATCAAAAATAACGTAATTAAACTATATGTAACGTTGAAAGGTTTACAAAAATCGCTCGACGAGATTGAGTAGATTAATATATGTTTACGCATATATACTCATCACTACAATTAGTTAAGCTTCACTAACAGTAACGTTTAGAAAGATCTGAAATAAAATTGAGAGACGTCGTTAGCAATTTACCGTTTATTTTCCAAAAAATTACATTGTAAGTAGGCGAATCGATTCGGCAAGTCTCGGATCTCTGCTAAGAATTTTAACTTTTAAAATAAAATTAAAAGATCACTCCTACTCTTTCATCTGGAATACGAAATAGAACCGTTAGAATTGAACAAACAGGACCGAAGCTATTAGTTTCTTGCTAGTAAAATATAGTCGAATTAATTTTATATATAATCATATGGAAAACTGATCATACCTACTGATGATTTATAGCTTTATTTTGTAGTTTGTCTTTTTTGCGTGTCTTCTTGATTGCGGACGAAAAATCAAACCAATTAGCATGCCGACAGTGTGGGTGAGGGCTGAAATTTTGTCCGCAATTAAGAAGTAGCCATTCAAGAGTGTTTTAAAGTTTGAATAAATAAATCGTCAGAGTCCGCATGCGGACAGTAAAAGAAAATGTACGTGAAGGAAAAATCTCTAAGCAAGAAAGAATTTGATGATCAAACTCATCAACAAAAACTCACATTTGCAAAATATATAAAACGATGGATTGAAATTTTTTTTAATCTATTAATACAAAATGAATTATGAGAATTTGTTTACGATGAATATATATTATGTCAACGGAAGAGCATTTTGTAATATAATTAAGAAACAATAAAATAAAAATCAGTCCAACAATGTCATATCGAAGGATTATCAATAATCAAAAGTTATCTTATGGTTCAGATCAGAGATGGACAAAATCGCACCGCGCCTCCCCGCGCTGTTGCTCACGCCTACGCTACACTAGTCTGAGCTTCGATTAGCGCATGCTTAGAGCATCCCGGTATTCGGTAGAGTTTGAGAAACTGATTGGTACAGCAAAGAGAAAGAGAGATGTGCGTAGCGCCTAGGCGTGAGCAGTGGCGCGGTGCGATTTTGTCTATCTCTGGTTCAGATTATAGTTAAACGAACATATCAAAGTATTTCATAATTGCAATCATTATTTAACCTTTGTTTTCTAAATAAACAACATATATGAATCGTTTCATTTTGTGAAACACGATCTCAAAAAGTAGTGTTGAAACATAGGAGTAAAAATTCGAATTCCTCGTCCATCTACAAATGTGACAAAGATATTTAGCAATGCGTTTCCTTCATTTCAGAGATATATTAATAAGAGTTTCGTTGTAATATATAAACTACTTCCTTGTTGCAGTTCTTTGCGGGGATTCAGTAAAAGATTGATAAAGAAATATTTCGAAATAGATACAATAAAAGCAATCTTTGTATGATTAGTGACAGCAACTCTATATCATGTTTCACATTTTTGATCCTGTAGGAATTTTGTTATTTTATTTTTATTGATTAAATGAATCTTTTTCTCGTCTTTTTTCTTTTCCAGCCATAATAGCTTGTTGAAATAATGTCAAATAAAATTCAATTAATTTTAATGTATCATCATTACTTGGTATAGGATAAGTTATTATATTTGGATTACAATCTGTATCACACAAAGCAACAGTTGGAATCAATAATTTATTTGAATCACTAATAGCTGGATGAAGTTGATTTGGTGGTGCTAATGTATGTGTAAATATACATACATCAGGTAAACGAATATCATATCCAAATAGTTCTTTAGTATTTGTAAATGGATAATCCCATTTTCGACAATGTGCATATTCACCACAATCACGTGCAGCACGTTCAACAAGTGGAACATGTGCTGGATAACGTGTAAGAAATAAAATAATACCTTGACGATAAGCAATATGAGCAAGAAAATTTAATGCTGAATGTAACATCGGTAATGTTTTATCTAAATCAATAATATCAACATCCAATCGATGACCATATATATATGGAGACATCCATGGATTACGCATTCCTGTTACATGTCCATAATGAGCACGATTTCTATAAATGTATAAAATCAAATATAAATAATTATAATTTATATATGTTTTTCTTAAAAACAAAAAATATCATATTCTTCTTTATTTATCTTTCGTATGTTAATTTCTACAAACATACCTACTTGAAAAGATCTTCAAGTGTAACCATTGAACGTACATTGAAATAATCATCATGTTGAAGAGGATCATCAATGATAGTTGGAGTATTATTTTGTTTTTTTGACGATATTAAATCTATACAATTTATTGGGAGGAATAAAAATGAATATTTATTTTTTAAAAATTTAAGTTACTATCTTCTTGAATAGTTTGTCGTTGAATTGCATGTTGAAAGTTTGTTCGACTAAAACCACGTTGAAATATACGTCTAAGCATAAATGATGCCATTATTCTTTGATCTAAAATAAAATAATATATATTTATCATTTAAATTGAAAGGATTCCTATAGTTTATTTGATGGAGAAGAAAAATCGAAACAAAAACTAAATACAAATTCAGAATAGTCAATGACAATAGAAGCAAAAGACAAATCATTCAATTCAGATATTTAAACGAAGGCCAATTGTAACCATCGATTAGTGGATCTTCTGGAAATGGTAAATTTTTCTTTACACTACAAAAAGAAAAAAAATAATATTTTGAACAGATTGAACAAGGATTAGAAATAGATTATTTTTTTCTTTTACCGATGCTGATACATGTATTGATGACGAAGAATCTAATGAAAATAAGATATAAAAATATTCATTAAAATATATTTAATATTTTTTTTTACTCGTTTTTGTGCAAGTATGCATTCTTTAACATCATCTTTTTCATCTTCACATAAATATCGATGAGTACTTGGCATCTATAAAAAAATCAATTTCTTCTAAAAATATTGGTAAAACTATTAGTTTTTGAAAATTTTACCATATGTGTACACATACGATATTGTTTAAATACTTTACCACATCCCATATCACCTAAACCCATCGCCCAAGGTTCAATACCCATATTAAATGGTGAATAAAAAAGACCAATAGTTGGTGTTGGTTCAACAACTTTACTATGATACCATCGTCTATGCCAACGAACAAATGGATTAATATGTTCTATTGGTTGAACATCTTTATTATAAATAAGTTTTTGTTCTTGTTCATCTTCTTGTTGACTATAAATAGATGCTTCTGCTTCAGGTGAACCAGATTTTGGCATAGGTCGACCAGAATCTGTATAATGACCAATCATACGCATTAATACAGGCATTTGAGCGACATATGGACGTGTTGGATAAGATAGATTAGTAGATAGAAGAGGAGTTTTCGACTCATTCTTTGTATCTTCGACCATATTAATCAATATCTTCAAAATATTTTGAAAAAAATTATACTCATACAGTTCACATCAATTTTGTGATAATAAAAATAAATTAATTCACACCTTCTAGATGATTATCATCATCTCTGTAAATTAAATCTTCTTAGTAATATTCACTTTAAAAATTTTAGAGAGAGAGAGAGATTATCGAAAACAAAAAAGAACCACCATATTGCTCATTTTCATCCAATTTTAAGTAGCTAAATAGACGTATATCTTCACAAACTACAGTCTTGTTAATAAAAATATTGAATTCAATATTAAATTCGTTGACGATTGACTGTTTAGTAAACAGTAAAGTAATGCATTTATCAAACTAATTATATTAACTAACAATTGGCGATAATAATGGTACTGTTTTAAGAACTAGATCCCTTCAAATATGTACAGAAAAGATAAATTCAATAAACCACTAGAGGAACAAAATAAGTATAATTTTGAATGGATAATATTTATAACCAATAGGAAGATATGACAGAGCACACTGCATGCTATATTATTTCTCTGTTACCTGTTATTTTATTTGCTCGCTACTAGACTTGACAACTTACTTATTACTGTGTACGTGTATTTGATTTAAAATGGCTGCGATATCGTGATTAAAGCAATAAATGCTTTTCTTTGTGTTCGTTATTTTTCATTTTTAATTTATCCCAATGGGAAATAAACCTCCTGGTAAACTTCGGCAAGCTGATTTAGACTATTTTCGTCATATGACGACATTTACCGATGCAGAAATAAGTATATAACCAGCAAATATATTTTTTTTTAATAAATGAAATATAAAACATTTTTTTCTTTAATATTTCATAGAAGAATGGTATAAATGTTTTCATAAAGATTGTCCAAGTGGACAATTAACATTTGATGAATTTAAAAAAATTTATGCACAATTTTTTCCTGCTGGTGATTCTTCAGCTTTTGCTGAACATGTTTTTCGACGTTTTGATGCTGATCGTAATCAACAAATATCATTTCGAGAATTTCTTACTGCATTAAGTATTACATCTAAAGGAAATTTAGATGAAAAACTTAATTGGGCATTTGGTCTTTATGATACAAATGGAGATGGATTTATAACAAAAGATGAAATGCTTGAAATTATTACTGTAAATTTAAAAAAAGAAAAAAGAAACAAGAATTGATATTTAATATAATATTGATTTTTAGGCAATCTATCAAATGGTTGGTTCAGTTATTAAAATGCCTGAAGATGAATCTACACCTGAGAAAAGAACTGATAAAGTAAAAAATTATTTTGCTTAAGAAAAACGAGTTTCTTTAAAATTTTCTTTTAGATTTTTCGTACATTTGATACTGATCATGATGGAAAATTAACACGTGAAGAATTTATTCAAGGTTAATATTTTTTTTTCTTTATATTATAGTTAAAATTTTTCAATTTATTATTATTTATAGGTGCTAAATCAGATCCGTCCATTATTCGTTTATTACAATGTGATCCAACATAAAGTCTAACTACTGTGCTAATTTCTTCAATAGAGAATGCTTCATCATCTACGACTCATTTACAGAAATAAGATATTTTTTACGATATGATATCTATTAGTCATCATCTTCCATATGTTTTTTTTTCTAATTTGTATTCCACACAAGAGCAAAGAAATTTGAGAATTTTTTTTGTTTTTATGTTCAAATTAAAATAAATATTCAATTGGTTAAAGTAATCCGCGTTTGCCAATTAATTTAATTAAATTTCCTGAAAAAATTCCATATTTTGAAAGAGTACGATCATAATTTTCTGAATGACGATGATGAAGTCGTTGACCACGATAATAAATCAATTGATTATCAATTGTAATACGATATATATGTTGTAATTGTTTAGCTAAATCACCACATGTTGGTTCTTTTTCTGTTTTCAAAACAATTTCTTGAACATCACCACCAAACTGTACTTGTAGTTTTGTATAAATATGTTCACCTGATGGTCTTGTGGAAGATAAAGGAGTTTGTCGAGATTGATCAGTCATCGTAATGATTTCTAAATAATAATATTGATGATTAAATTTATAAAAAAAAAAATTATTTTTAGTTACTTATTTCTATTCAAGTTCACTGACTTACCACAACAGTACTGTTTTTAAACTTGACTACCAAACGTAAAATTTGTTGTATGTTTTCTTTGCTTTTTTTCTTGATAGTTGTTTTTATATTAAACCATTTTTTTTTTTCAGTCAGTTTTTCATTTATTCTTCATCAACTCGGTCTTTTTTGCAATTCACACATACACACACACACACTGTTTCAATAGTCGAGAGAATAAAGAACAAAACATACGTTCAAGGGGAAAAAAACAATCACTCATATACATAAAATAGAAAAACCAAAAAAAAAAGATGTGAAAATTATGTAATTTAATTAGTTTGTTTTTTTATTCGACAAGCACAAGATAAGGACTTCCAGGCACATGTTCCATATTTACTCCATAAAGAATTGTTAATAGATATTGACCACGTGTTCGTACTCGATAAGATACTTTATAGATAAAACCAGGTGAATGTGGCATGATACGTTTGACAACAAGACGTTCACAAGGACCAAGAGGAGAATAAAGACCAACTAAAAGTATACCAGGACCTAAAGATAATTAATAATTTATAATAAAAATATTTTTTTAAAAATCTTATTCATTTAAAAACCTGCTTGACTAGCATCAATTTTAAATGATGCTTTTCGTCGTTTTTTAGCTTCGTATAGACCAGTACCAAACACACAAATTTGTGAAGCATCACCTGTCATTGATGAACGAAGAGTATCAAAATCGATATGACTATTAACATGATTTAATTTCGATTGAATAGGTCCTAATGTATCACAACTAGTTGTTTGATTTTCTTTATGTTTATCTAAAATAATATTTTTCTAAAAGAAAATACTCTTTAAAAATTCAACAAACCATAAACACGACAAATAAATGGACTTCCTTGAATATGTTTTCCATTATTTTTCACTGTTATTAAATATTTTCCACTTCGAATTGGTTTATAATGAAACTAAAATAAAAATTTATTAAGTTTCAAATGTTTTTTTTTGTTTTTAATGATAAAGTACTTACTTCATAACCATATTCAGTTTCATTAGCATCAAGAAAAACAGTTGATGGTCCACTGATACCGACAGAAAAATTTCCTGTACTCAATGACGAATCATATGGTGATTTTGATACAAAAAATTGACTTAATTCTCCTAAACAAAAATTCATGTGTCGAGTCTCTTTAATGTTTTTCCGTTCTTCCACGCATTTACTATTACACGATAGAACAGAAGAAAAAAAAACAGAGCGCTACGAGTAGGATTCGAACCTACGCGGGAAGATCCCATTGGATTTCTAGTCCAACGCCTTAACCACTCGGCCATCGCAGCTATGCTTACCAGTGTACGCATGAAATAGTTCTTCTTTACTGTTAACCATTGATTTCATAGAAGAACATGGTCGTATAGTTAATCGACAAGGATTATCGATAATGGGCATATGATTAAGATTTATATTAAGCCAATAATTACCACATGTATTTGGTATAAAAAAAATTTCGTAACATTCTAAATTAATAATAAAATAAAAAAATTCTCTTAAATTATGGATGTAATTAAGAAATAATTCAAAAATAGTTAATTCATTAAGTAAGCTTTACATTTCTAATTCTAGAAGAAATTTAGTTCCATTATTCTATATTATCAGCTTAAGACTTCAGCATTCTGGAGTTTGTGGAGCAAGCTAATTAGAAAAATACGAAATTTTCAAAGTCAGTAGATCGTGACGAATAGAAGAAAATTTGACATAGACTTAATGTTCTCGGATGCTGTCTTTTATGAGATACTAGAATCACAATGGCAAAATAATGCCTCCATTTCTTTGAGATGCTATGTTCAATCGAGTGGAATATGGTTTTTGGTTTCGTTTTATTGTTTGTCCTTCGAAAAAAAGCCAAAAAACGAAGATACTCTATTTTTTCAATAGAGCTTTTCGTGTAAGACCTATTGAAAACTTCACAGAACAATATTTGTTGAAATAAAAACAAAAATCAATTTCAAACAGTGTATAGTCTATGCGAAAACAACATCAGTTTTATCGAATATTCTAGACTGAAGAAACGGAAGCGTTTCTACTCTTTTCTTTTTCATGACAAAGTTGGTTTACGAAAAACATAGATGACGAATAGGTTTTGCTATTTGTGTTACGTTAATTTGAACTTTTTTTACGTTTAAAGACAATTTTTAGATTCTAAAATGTATTCAATAGTTAGTTATTACTTCAGACTATACAATGGTTACAAAAGAAAACAAAAATTTTAGGTTACGAAAGGGGGATGCTCTTACACTTAATATATTAAGTACAAGAACATCTGTCTCTATCATAACCATCTGGTGCTTAAAAAAAAAACTTTTTCTTTTGTCGTTCTTTCTCCTGAAAGATATTTAATTAATAAATAATTGTTTGTTTAATCTAACCTGATTTAGCTGATTTATGCACTGTTATTGGTAAATTAATATTTCCTTGTGGTGCTTGTATATAAGCTTGAAAGATATTACATGATGTCTCTGGACGAACATTGACTATAGATGGAGTATTAACCTAATAGATCACAGATAAGTTTAGGTTTTGAAATAAAATCAAAATCATACATGAAATTCTATAGGTTCAATAACTGCACGAATTGGAATATTAGCAGGTGGTACAACCTGTTCTTGAGATGATTGAGTATGTAATGATAAATGATACGGTGAACTATCAATATGTGCACCATTATATGTCAATGATATATGATATTTACCTGAAATAAAACATAATTATTCTTTTTACAAACTAGTTTTACTTACCAGGTGATCGACATTTGTAATAAACTCGATAGATTCCTGTATTAATAACTTCAATTTGAATATCAGCTTTGGATGGACCATCAATAGCAATAACAAGTTTTTGTAATTCAGCATCAGGTGCGTTCAAATCAAAATGACCTTCGATTTATAACAATGATTTTTTTTTTTTTTTTAATAAAAAAAAAGAAAAAATATACGAACAAAGATCATTAACAAAACCATCTTTTAGACCGGGACCACTGGCTCGAATATTTGGTTGTTTTTCTGAACTGATTATTTGGTTATCATTGAGAAATTCAGGTGGAGGTGGAGGAAATAGTTCGTTACTATTTTGATTTTGTGAACGAGATCGTTTAAACGTAGAAGACTTTTTTGCTGTTGACGAACATAGTGGTGTTACTGAAAATTTGAAAATCAAAAAGAAAAGTACAAAATTTATCAGCTTTTTACCATTGAGGTTTGGTGTTGATGGACTTAGTATAGATTTGTCAGTTGCTTTAAGTAAATCTATGATCAAAAATAATGAAAATAATTGATGGCGTAGACTAAATGAGATAGAATCATTTTCTTTGTTTCGAAAACTTTCTTAACATCGTTCTATATTTATTCGATAGAGAAGTTTTTGCTTTACAAAAATATAGACTTTCCTTTTTGAAACTACCTTTTGCTGTGAGAGTAGAATGAAAACGATTAACACCTCTTCAATCATCTATCTAGATATATGTCAACTTGGGTAAACATTTGCACCTGAAGATCGTAAAGCATTTGGTATAAATGGATAGAGAATTTGCTATCTGTACTTCTACGACCTTTTCAATAATCTTGGTTGTATTGTTTAGGAAAAAAACATGTTCAACTAACATCTAGTGGTAGTTCTGATAACACTTTGGAAAAGTCATGTTTTCAAAAATGAAACTTTCATTCTCATGCTATCGGATGTAGAATTTAACATGGAATGAAATGATACGACTCTTAAACTGAAGATTAAAAATGATTAAGTTATCTTGAATAAGAACTGAGCAATCACATAATCGTGTTAAAAAAAAGATAGTCTTGAAGAATTTTCATATTATTTGTTACTTTTGATCTGTTTTCTTGCAAAAAATTATTTTTCTAAAACTCTGAAATATACATCGAAGGATGGAGACTTTTGTAGGGAATTCCACGGCATATTTGAAATTTCACAGGAACTTTTCATTTCTGATTTGGTTCTTGCAATCGGCTGATCGATAAGTTGTTAATTATTTCCATTTTTCACTCACAAGAAAAAAGATGTTTGAAAAAGAGAGCTCACATTTTTGTGAGTCAAAAAATTCTCTAATGAATGAACATAGAACTAACGAGAGTGTTATCAGAACCAGAGCTTGTCGTTGGAGCTCATATGGAAACTTTGATAATAATAGAAAACTATGAAAAATGTACATACTTATGAGTCTCTGGAGCCTAGTTATGACCTTTTTACTAAATTTTCGTTTTATATTTATCGAAAAATCAAATAATGGAATTTCGGCCTAAAAGTTTGTCGATAGATAGGTCTAATGAATTTGGAAAGATCTAAAAAGTTTCAGATGCTGTTATAAATCGGCGTCAAATACCTATTGAAATATGAATTCTTTTCGGATTTTTCTATTCTTAGTGAAGTCACATAGTGAACCCAATATGAACTCAAACGGAAATTTTCTCGTAAGTCTTGAAAGTGTGTCGAAGTGTTTCAAAAGAAAAGAAAATGATTTTGTCTCATCTAATCTATGTCACCCCCGCATTAATAATAAGTTCTATAGTTGATTACTATTCAAACGTCGAAATGGATTCGAAAAACTAAATGAAGGTGGTGTTGATGTTTGAATTTCTCGATTTTGTTCTCGTTCATTAAAACTAGCTGTTGTCCGTTTTGATATTCTTCTCATTAGTTGACTTGATTGTTGTTTATCATTAGTATCATGTTCTTGATCAGTTGTTAATTTAATTTCATCAACATGTACAATATATAATAATGTTTCTGTATAAACTAAATCAATTGACAATAGATGAATATAAAATGAATTTTTAGAGCTTACCATTGTTTTCATCTGCTGAATTTGAACTACTACTTTTATTACTTAAACGATCAATTGATGAAGTTAATTTATTATTTATTATAAAGGAATTATTATTAGTATTATTAAGAAAACGACGAACTTTCGGCAACATTATGTTGTTAAATAAATTCTGAAAAAGAAAAGTAAAGATCTTTGAAGAAAAAACGAAGTTAGACAAGATCTATTTCTTTAAGTAAAATTTTTATTTAATTGGATTAAATAGTTTTGACGACGAATTTCAAAAAATTTTGTCTTAATAGAGGGCGCTAAACTATAAAAAAATGTTTCCAATTGTTCTTCATTTACTATGGTAGGTAGTAAAATGTTTAAAAAATAAATATTAATAAATGGCGTCTAATGAAGAAAGTTGGATATATGATATAATCAATGATTTTATTCATTCATCAATTTGGTTATCACCTATACAAATATTTATTGATACAAATTGTGCTTGTTTTGATTATGATGATGATGATGATCATCAATTATCATTATCTTCACTCAATGAACAAAAAAAAATATATAAACAATATCAAAATTTAGTTGATTCATTACTAATTAGTCTTAGTGAAGATCTTAAATTAGATGTAAATCAAGTAAAAAATTATTATCAAAAAAATAATTCAATAACAATCGATGAATCTTATGAACAATTATATTCAATAAATGATTTTAATTTATTTACAGAAATGATGAAAAGAAAAAATTTAATTCTTCAATTACAAGCATTAGTTAATTTACAATTAGAATGTGGTTTATTAAAACAAACAGATACGAATGATGATCAAGTTTTACAATTATTATTAAAAGCAACTTCATCATCATTCACAAGTAAAATGTCAATGGAAAATTCTACAACAGTTTCATCGAATGTAACACGAAACGACAGAATAAAAATGAATTCTGATAAACATCAACAATTTCAAACTAAAAAGGCTAAGGTTGTCTTTTTATTCTAATTTTAAATAAAAATATTTTTCTTTTATTATAGTCAAATATTGAATCTAAAACAATTGATTCAATATCTGAAGAAATTCTTCGTGAAAAATTAAAAGAATTAACAATAGATACAACATCATCTGTTGATGATGAAATTCCATCAGTTATGTTATCAAGACAAAATTTTCTTAAACAACAACGTGATTTAATTATTCGACAACGACGTAATCAATGTGTTCGAGAATTAGAAAAAGAAAGTATTCATGTTCGACCACAATCAGCTGCTAATGTTGCACGAAAATCAATGGAAACAACAATTAAACAAGAACAACAAATATCCAATGATGAATTAGAAAAACGACGAGCTATAGCAGCAAAACTTCGACGAGAAGTTGTTGATAAACGATGAAATCTTCTTTTTTTTTTGTTTTTCTAAATCATACAAATTAAAGTCATTTTGACAGATATTATAAATCTAGTCGCTTTTATGTTCGTTTATTGCTATGAAATCGCTTATTTGTTGCTTTGTTTCAATGACTCAATGGTTTTTTTCTTTTATTTCATATATGTAAAACAATTTTCTAAGGTAGATTTTTTAAGATTCTAATTTTTGTTTTGTTGTAAAATTAAATGTAATTAATAACTTTCTTTATACGAGTGATATTGTGCTTGTCGTTTGTCTTGGTGAATGAAATAAAATATTTATCCTATAAATTTTGGTCTATTCGGCGTAGATATATTTTGATTTTGTGCAATATTAAAAGGATATTTTTGAAAGAGTTCATATGAACGTTGTTAGTTATCTATATTTACTTTTAGAAATTTTTAGTCATCAAAATGTAGCTCGTGTTGTGCATTTTTTATTTTTTATGGTTTTAGTTCTTTGGAACAATTATGAAAAAAATGCACTCAGTTTGAAAGATCGTCCGAAAAAACTTGTCCAATCGAAAATGACTACTACACATTTTTACATGTTCAGTTTTATTATGACTCAATGTTGAGGGATGAAGTTTGCTATAGATCTAGCATAAACAATGTCTATGATTTTAGCAAAAGTTGCGCTTTATAAGCTAACTTTATCAGATACTTATAAGCAAGACAAAATCGTCCGAAAAATTATGTCCACCATGGTGTTTATAACGATAAATCGAATATTAAGTATTAGGTTATTTTAATCAATTTTCTTAGGTTTAGATCATTTATAACGATCAATTGAAGGGTACGTATTCATTTCAATAAACGAAGGTACCCAGTCTGACTGGGACCTCAAATATCAGAGTGGGAAGGGGCGAAATATGAAATGCTGATGCAAAATACGATGATAGGCGAATTTGTATATGATAATACACCATTTTTTATGGTAGTCGTGTACATGTCGTGTTGCGTCATATGTGACACGACGATATACAGTCGTAATTCTCGTCTTGCAATGACAAAAAAATTTCTATGCATCACATATATAAATGTGTGACTTGGATAGGGATACAATATTCGTCAAATTTTAATTTAAAATCCAATACAACACAAAAGAACTTGTCCTTCTACTCAAATACTCTTCATTACCTACTGTAACCAAATATTTATTTATTTGATCTATTTATGTGTTGCCCATAGTAAACTAGTGATATCTAGCGATAATGATGTTTGAATAATGTCGAGGTTCGTTGCCTAGCATTTCTCAATATCAAATGGTTGTTATAAATTTTGTGCTATAAAGATAATATTGTAATCTGATTCTTCTCTAAAATTGACATTAGACAAAAATAATGCTTCGTTCATCTAATAATCGTCTCAATTATCGTCAAGCGCCATCGAGTATTGAGAATTACAAAGCAGTAAATGAGCTCGTAATGAAACCAACAAGTCCTAGAACATCAGTTCAGTCACTGACGACACAACATGATAAATGGAATGATGAAAATCGAACATTACGAAAATTAGTTGTTGATCAATCATTAAATCCTTCTAAATCTCGATCACGAACATTAGAAAAATTCGTTGCTGATCAACCCTTGAATCCTTCTCAATCACCGTCACGATCACCAAGTGTTGCCTCATTAAAATCCATGGTTATCGAAGGACAGTGGAAATATCGAGGACATGACGACGATCGTCTTCGACTTAAGACAATGGGTATTGAAAATTTAGTTACTATTTGTCATGATGTTATGAATGTAACATTTCAATCAACTAATCAAAAACAAGAAAAACGAAGAAAATCTCTATCAACAAATTTCCGTTGGCCAATAGTACAACTTGATGAATTTAACAAATTAACTAAAACCAATAAGGCATCTTTACGTCGTGCTCATCTTCTTAATCTTATGACAATCGTTTATGAAGCAGCTTCATCAAGTGCTTCCATATCTCAACTCGTTCGTATTTGGCGTGAAGTTTCTGATCATTCAAAATCATCTCAGTCTCAAACGCAACCATTAATATCTTATAAACAAGCTTTTCAACATTTAATTCGTAAACCTGATAATCGTTTACTTGAAATAGCACTGCATGCTTCTTTATTAAGCACTCATAAACGATCCGATTTACAACGATTAGGTGAAACGTTAGGTGTCGAAAGAAATGAATTTGATATGGATTCGATTCGAGACTCAACAAAAGCTTTTCGAAATCTAATCAAGTTGTTACGTGAAAAACAGTTAAAACAAAAACTGGAACTACAAAATATTAATACAAAGATACTACCATTTAAACCAAAAACCCAGCAAGGTATTTATGTCAATGTTGCTGGTACAAGATTTCCTCTAAGTAAGTTGATTTTTCTTTAGATAATTTAAGAGAATGGCAGTATTCTTGTCTTCTCTGTCAAGTTCGATTCAGAGCATAATTACATAAAATAATCTGTTGTTATTTGATAATAATGATTTGTTCACTTTCGACCGGTTGGATTGAGATTAACTGTTAAAGAATAATATTGTAGAAATTCAGTATATTCAAGATCAATCCGTGAGAGAAGAATATAGTTATACAATCGTCATTTATACAGAAAATGTAAAGGATACGAAGAGAGAATGAACAAGATAACCGTCACTAATTTCGCGTGATATAATAAATGTATCTGTATAAATTGAGTGATGTTTTTCGATAAGTATCATGTTGAAAAAAAACGTCGATTGACTTATACAATCATCAATATTGAGCTAATGAGTTCATCTATATTAACATCTATTTCGCTTCTGAGTTCAACGTATTATATTTTTTTCATAAATAGACTTTGAATAAGGGGCCAAACCAAAACAAAAATTCATGTTTTTAGTAATTAATTTTTCAGAATAAAACATCTGATGATATATACGTATCTCGTTCGAGAAGATAGGCATTACACATAAGATTCTTATATTAAAATACATTGAAATTTTATTGCTTAAATTTTAGTTTCTCTAGCTGTTAAGCTATCTGGTTTTTCCATATGCTCGAATTCTGATTTTACTTGTAATCTTTTATGGAATGATTCATTAATTTCTATGGATATTGTATCAGCACTTAAACCTTATCAAAAAGTAAATCATTTTCCAACAATGAATGAAATATCACGTAAAGATTTACTAGCTGCAAATTATGACAGGTTCATTTTATTCATTTAATTGTTTATTGTTAAATATAAATTAATTTTTTTACTCTAGATTATCAAGTTTTGTTCCTCAGGAATATAATTTTGCTCCAAAAACTTGGATATTACCGAAAGAATATAATCTATGGTATTCGTATGCATCGAGTGAACCGAAAAAAGATCCATTTATTTACATTGTTAAACCAATTAATGCAGCAATGGGACAAGGGTAAAATTCCTCGAAATTTTCTATTATTTTCTATTAAAAAATATTTTATAATATAGAATTTCAATTCATTGTGATTATAAACAAATTCAACCAATGGATAATTATATCATTCAAGAATACATACGAGAACCTTATTTAATAGACGGTTTTAAATTTGGTATATTTTTTTTTATCATTGAATACTTTTTAAAAATTTTTTACTATTAAGATCTTCGCATCTATGCTTTAATAACTTCGTGTGATCCACTACGTGTATTTATTTTTAATAATGGTCTTGTTCGTATGAGTTCGAAAAAATATAAAATACCTCCTAATTCGAAAAACAAAGTATATTCAATTTTTCAATCATTCATTTTCCTACAAACAAAAATGTTTTCTTTTTTTTTTATCAGTTTAATCTTTCTATGCATTTAACAAATTATATACCTGATGAAAATGAGCTAGATGATGATTTCGACATAGATAATGGAAAAACAGATTCACTAGAATTTTTATTTAAATATTTAAAAAATCAAAATCAAGATGTCAATAAATTATGGAAAGAAATACAAGTAAAAGAAAGATTTAAAAACAAATAACTAAATATAATTTTTCGTTTTATTTTAAGAATATTGTAATAAAAACTATATTTCTTGCTGAACCACATCTATTAAAAACTTATCAAATGTGTCGTCCAGGAGTATTACCAACCAGTGAAAGTGTTTGTTTCGAATTACTTGGATTTGATATATTAATTGATAAAAAATTAAAACCATGGATCCTTGAGGTATGATTTAAAAGGACAGGAGCGCATAAAGGTTAATTTTTTGGGCTATCTTTAGCTTTCCTTTATTCATCATGTACCTAATGTCGAATTACACAAGGATTCGTTTGATGACAATATAAGCCAGTTTCTCAATTATCAAAACCTTTTGTTACTCAAATTATTGAGATATAAGTTTTTATGAGAAACGGGATCGTGATTCATGTGGATTTTCTCGTACTGAGGTATATCCAATAGAAAACTATGTCACACAATTTTTTTGTATTTTTCACTTATCTTTAAAAGATGTTTGTTGTAAAAAGTCGAGTTTGAGTTAAAACTAATAACATATTTGAAATTAGCATAAAAAATAAAATAAACTTATATGTTTTTCAAGTTTTTTCGACAAACTTCTTTTTTTCTGGAAAAATTCAACTAGGATTCTTCTCAGGGTACATTAAAAAGACTCATTTGATCAAAACACCATTCTTATTGTTAAGTTATTTTTTGTTATGTGTGATAGTAACCTGTTACAAGTTCAGAACTTGTTTTTCATTGATAAAATGATTATACAATTAAAATAATCTTTTCATTAGACTTCGAGGAAAACCTTAGTTGAATTTTTTGGAGAAAAAAAAAGTTCATCGAAAAACTTTGAAACACATGAAAGTTTATTCAATTGTTTATGTTGACTGCAAATATGTTATTAGTTTTGACTTGAGCTCGGATTTTTTTTCAATCAAAATCTACTGAAGACAAGTGAAAATGCAAAAAATGTAGTGCTATAGTTTTCAAGTGGCAATACCTTAGTGTGAAACAATTTACACGAGTCACCGTTTCATATATAAATCATATGTTCATAGTACAAACGTATATATCAATAATTTTAGTGACAAAAAAGTCTGAATCGTTGCGACGTCGCTCTATTTAGTTATCGAACGATTCCTGGCGAAATTCTACATTAAATATATCATGAAACGAGGGAAACTAAGAATGTCTCAACAAATGACCCTTACGCAACTTTGTCCTTTCTTGATTAATGTTTTTTTTTTCTGTTAATTAATTAAAATAGGTTAATCGTTGTCCAAGTTTTGATGTTAATCGACAAATTGAATTTGATATCAAAATTAAATTATTATATGAAACATTTGATTTACTTCGTTTTCGGTCATCCGATCGAAAGAAAAGTATTGATATTGAAAAAACTGAAGCACAACGTCGATTGTATTCCAATATAGGAAAAGATACAAATGATCAAACTAATGAATTAAATAAAATGGTATTGAATATATTTTTATTTGAACTGTTGATTTTGATATTGTTTATTGTATAAATAGAAAGAAATTTTATATCTTCTTCGACGAGAAAAAGAACGTGAACATTTTGAAAGTCGCCATTTAGGTGGTTTTATTCGTTTATTTCCAGTCAATGATCAAAATCGAATGAATGAACTAATGAATATTTTAACAAAATGTTTTCAAGTTTTATATACAAATAAAAATGATTCATCGTGGATTATGAAATATTATAATCAATATGATGAAGAAGAAATATTAAACATGATTACTCGATTAGAAAATATTTATCAAAAAGATCGACAAGAAAGTTCAAGATTAACTTATGTAAGGTTTAATTTGAAACATTGATCCGTATTCGAATAATTCATATAGAAAAAAATCACTTGGGATTTGTATAGGCAGACTCTTGTCCTGTAATAATGCGAATGAGTTTTTACAAAGTTTCATTTTCTTGATGATTTACATTGAACAATATTGTAATTGTTTAGTTACTACACTTACGAAGGCAGCTCCACAACTGATTGATCGTTTTGAGTTAGGACAATGTGCATTATGTAAACCCTAATGAGTTATGAATATCCTGACAAGAGTTCGCGCTATTAACGTATCGCTACTGAGATACTGCATTTTTACAATATTGTTTCAATGGAAGATATGACGTTCCTTAGAAATACCTGAGAAAAGGAGTTTTTGAGTTTCGACTTGAAATTTTTCCTAGAAATAAGCCTTTATCTGAAATAGTTTATTGTGAAAGTTTCAGATCTAACAATATATCAAAGGACCTAACGTTTTTACAATAAGCTATTCCTTATAAGATCTATCTTCGTAAAAATTTCAAGTCGAAAATCGAAATCCAGATGTACCAGTGGTTAATAGTAGTGTCATCGTTATCTTTAAAAATACCATAAAAAGGTAGTATTCGGTAATAAAGAGCTCATATACTGAACTCTTGTAGTACTAGCTGTAAGTCATGAGAGTATGTTGGATGCACATTGCTCCAACCCAAAAACGATTAATCAGCTGAGAAACTTTTCTCTTTAGAGATATATTGAACTGTGTGAATATTACTCATATTAGTATATAAACTTCTCAGTTGAACATAAATTGTTCATCTATTCATATTCATAGTTTCAAATTTATCTTAGAAGTGAACGAAGAAAAAACTATTCTTATTAAATAGAAGTAATCCGAAAAATATAGTTCTAAGAGTATTAATCGTTGTTAAGCTGCATAACGAGTGCATTGTAAACACTAGTTCTGCTGTATATTGTCGAAGAAATCTTTTTTAGTACTTCTCAATGAAAGATTTTTCGATTTTCATCGACTATAAATTTTGCTATAGTTCTCTAAAAATCTATAACTAATGTACTAAAATAATAAAATTATGATAAGAGTAATTATCTTGATCATCTAACAAAGCAGGATTAAATTATTTAAAAATATTGTCTTAGCATCCATTACTAAAATTCATTCAATAGTTTTACTCAAATGATTTTATGGTGTTTTGGTAGCAAGAAATGAGAATGTCGTTCTACAAAGTGTCAGCGTCTTTCTTCTCTGGAATTTCAAAATAAAACCAATGAGAATTAGCTAGTAGTACTATTTCGAAAACATTTTCTATATTTGTAGAAGTAATTTTGTTTATTTAGACATCCAATAGTAGTCTTGAATTAAATCGTTTATCACCTTCGACTAGTTTTGTTTTTGAAGCAAGCGATGACGAGAATAAACTTCGATCAGATTCATCGCGTTCTAATAAAATTAAAAAATCTCCATCATCAACAAGTGATCCATTTATGAAAAGAGTATCAACACAAACACCATCAAATATCTTTCGATCAACCTCATCATCATCATTAAATAATCCAAAACAACCATCAAACGCATTTGTTTTGACAGGCGATACTAGTCAAACACGAGGAAAATTACACCACATGCCACCAGGTGTGTCAGCTCAGCGAATAACAGAAAAAAAGGCTTATTCTACATTACCAACATCATCAAAAAATACTGATCAACAACGATCTCAATCACCAAAAACTATACAAACTCATGATGATAAATCTCAAATGGTTACCTATTCATCTATTGTACAAGCAACTCGAAAACAACAAGTAAATAACCAATCAATAGCAGTTAACATCACAAAAGTAATAAAAAAAAAAGAACTTTCTTAATTTTATCTTTCTTCATCAATTTTTTTATTAGGAACTTCAATTAACTAATACTGATTTAAATCGTTTATATCAATTAATACTTAATCAAATGAATAAATTACGTATTCATTATCCAAATAAATCAGATAAAGAAACAAATCAAATTTGTATTGAGGTTTGTTTGATTTCAAATTTGAATTTTTATTAATTCATTTAACCAAAATTAGATCATTGAAAATTGGAATAGATATAAATCTGATATCGGTCGTTATTGGTTAGTTGAATTCGATGCAAATAAAAGGCAGTCAATAATAGATATTGTTTGGAATAATGTACAACTAATAATGAAAAAAGTATGCATTATTGATGAACTTGTTCAACAATTACCATTAAATCGTCATTTAATGAAATTACAACGACGTTTATTAGCAAATCATGGACAATGTTTATGGGATACATGTCAAAATAAACATAAGTAATTATATTATAGATTCACATTTTTCATTGATAGACGAACGATGAGCACAGAAATAAGAAGCGCAAGGAAAGTTCAATACTGAAAAGTTAAGCACGGATAAAATTCAAGGTGAAGATTATGCTTATTGAAAGAATGAATGCTGTATAATAGATATTGAAGGTGTAGAGAAGATTTGCACCATACCTGTCTAGATATTACACATAAATTCTAGTCAACCATCAAAAAAAAAATATTTTAAAAATCTTATTTTCATACTCATATGATGCGAACCGGAATAAAACCGTTGGGTAATACAACAGATGAGTCTCTCATATTTGGGCCCCGAGAAATGAGCTTCCAACATTGTAGTCTTCTACAGATAAATCTTGCCAAAAAATAAAATAGAAATATGACATTTGATAGACGTATTGTTGAATCGAGTGCGAATGTGGCATCTGTGAATAGAAAAACTACATCCACATTTTCTTTATATTGTTATTATGTTAGGATTAGATAGTGCAAAACTGAAATATCGAAGACTCAAATATCAGGAGCTCTTATGTAGAGAGATTTATCTGTTTATATATTACGTCGTCGGTTGATCATTTAACCTAATGTACGCGATACTGGCGGTATTAGCTGTTAGGTGTAAAAACCAACGATGTACTAGAAATCAATAGGCAGGTAGACTGATACTTAAATGGTCGTCTATTCTATGGCTGCCGTTCTACCACCGTATGTTGAAAGTTGTTCTCTAAAAGACAACCCATTGTTTGTATACTGATGGGAGAAGAAACTAACATGCGATATAGGTACCTGTATTCAAATATTTAAAGTTAAATTGAATCAATGGCACTCAATATTTTATTGTAATTATTATTGTTCATATTTATGTTTTGTGAACAATAATAACAATTCATTGATCGTTTAATGAACTAGATGTTTATTTTGGGTTTTCTTGTGCTTAAAGTTCCGTGCTCATCATTTCATTTTTCATTTTTCTAATTTAAGTATTTTCTTTTACATAGTTCATGGGAATCATTATTTGTGAAAAGTACAAATCACTTGTCGGATATTGAATTAGAATGTTGTTATCGTTTTGTTGATTTATGTAAAGAAGCTCTGTTTATTGTTTATCGATATTCAATTGATGAAAAAATATATCAACAAAAACACATTAATCAAGAATTAACAGTAATGATTAAATCTTAAAATAAACATGATTGTTTATTATTCTTAACTATGCTTATTTATCTGATATATTTTTTATGTGAATAAAGAACTTTGTTCGGGTTAGCTTTGCTTTCATTTTTAAAGGGAATATAAAATAACAAGCATTTATATTTATCATTATAACTATTCCCAGGTAATAAATACAAAAGATAAGAAAACTGTGATATTTCATAAAAAAGAGATAAAGTATAGATGCACCTATGATATATTTTATAGCTTACAAGTTCTTTTTTTTCTTGGTTATATAGAACATGAATGAATGGCTCTTCACGTATATACAATGCCACTGTAAAGCTTTATTAATTGATACATGTACAATTGTTTTAAAATATTTATTGTATCATACCACTTTCAGTATAGTTCTTAGGCTATAGTCAGAAAAAGACATTTGGCTTACAAAACTACAGTTTATAGATTAGATTTAGCCTTGAAAATAATGATAAAATTATATACGTAAATGTATTTATCGTCTAAGATTTACATCAACGACCTTCATAATGTTTTGTTTTGTGTAGTCATAAAGATATTCTCATAGATTCGTACACGAAATATCAAGGACTATGTAATAAAGACGAGCATGTAATTGTGATATTATCTATGATTGATATTTGGTAAATTGATTGATGTACCTACGAAGACGAACCACATGCACATTTTTTACTAATTCAGCAATGACGACTTTCTCTAAAAGAACATCCATAAAATCAAAAGTTGACTTGTTTTAGAAGATTTTTCAAACAAGATACAGACACTCATGTGTCATAGTTGAGTAAAGTGTTTAAAATAAACTTTTAAAATACTAGAGAGTCAGTATCAAATACATATTCGACGTCTTTATCACTTGTCTTTCAAAATTGAATATCAATATATATAATACCTTTTCAATTTAATATACATTTTTAACTAAATGATATCTTCTTGAATGATGTAAACTTTGGGTCTGCACACTAAAAACAAATTAGGAACGCTAAGGTAATCTTGCATTCGTTCATACTATCATACACTTATATTCAAAATCTTATATTAATGTTCAAACTAAAAAAAGCGATATCAAGCGTATCGTTCTTGATTTCGTCCATATCCACTGTCATTGAAACGAAAAATACAAAAGAGTAGTGATAAGCAGACATGTACGTATATTCAATCATTTTCCGTTTGATCAATTTTCACCTTGATATTTTTTTTTCTGTTGGTAATGTAAAGATATCAACACCTTCTTTTCTATTAAGTATTATATAAAGACACATCATTTAAACATATTCATACTATTCGTATATATATATATAATGTTTAATTATTATGAATCTAATCCATATGAACTGTCAAGTGTATGTCCATATTCTCGTGGACTTGTTCAATTTGCTTCACGATTAGGTGGGACAATTGATCCAGAATTTTTAAATTTATGTCAAATAATGGATCCAAAGTTTCAAAAAGCTGTTGATGAATTAAAACCTATACCATTGAAATTCGAAGTACCATCAGAATATTATGGTTATCAAGAAGATATTTATCTTGATATAGATCCACGCAGTGCAACAGATTTTTATAATGAATGGGAATTTAAAGAGCACAATTCATGGTTAGGATATACCAATCCATGGAATTCAATGGATGATGTTGATAATGATATTTTTATCGATTTTATGTGATATAAACAAAGAGAAGAAATGTTAGATTTTTTTTGTCATACTGTCATGGATAAAATAACTTTTTTCTTTTCGTTACATTTCATCATATTAAATAAATCTTTTGAATTAACCCATTTTTCTTATATGATATGGTTCAATGAATATTGCATATGGCATGTGATCGTTTATTCACATTTGATATTTTTTGTACATAAATGCAAAATGAATCGAAATCAAAGATATAAAAATCTAACCAGAAAATTAAAAAAAAATCTTTACTGAAGTTTTTTTAAAAACATTTTGTCTTGAGAAATTTGTTCAATGGGTAAAATTAACTCATTGATCATTTCATCAATAACTCTTCCACTATCTCGTGATTGAATAGTAAATAATATTTGATCAAACATAGTCATATAACAATAAAGTTCTAATAAATTCCATTCATCATTTGTTAATAACATACATCGTGCATTTTGATATTCCATTAAAAACGTTTTAGCATAATCTGTATTAAACTTTGATCCACATGAACACCAAAAACATAATGTCATAGCGATATCAATAAGAAAAGGACCAAACGACAGATCATCGAAATCAAGTACTGCAGCGATTTTGTTTTGATTATGATTAAAAAGAACGTTTTCATCATGAATATCAATATGTATAAAACCTTTCGGAAGATCTTTTTCGAAATCTTCTTCAAATTTTATTTGTTCAAGTTCATCATCAATTAATGGAATAGAATGTGTATGTTCATCAAGAATTTGACGTATTCGTTTATATAGATCTGGATAATCCTTTTCAAATTCAGAACATGAATTTACAAGTTGATATTTAGTATCGACAACATTAATTCTTCGACGATTAAGTGTAAAACCAAATTTATGTTTATCAATTGAATGCATTCGACCTAGAAACTGACTAATTTCTATTGTTTGCCATAGTTGACGAACAGGATTTTTTGACGTATTAATATATTTAATTCCATCAATAAATGGAAAAATCGCACAATAATGTCCATTTTTAATCAAAAAGATTCCTGGTGGATCAATCATTGGTACAACTGGAAGATGATATTGTTTAAAAAGATATGAAATAAAATTTGACTCAACTTGAATATCTTCAAATATAATTGTTCGTTGTTTACTTGGAAGATATTCTCGGAGAATATAAATTTTTTCATTTGATTTCACATGAAATTTTAACGTCAGATTTGCCCATCCATCAGTTATTTGTTCGATTGATGAAGATATAAATTCACCTAATGCATATTTATTTAATATTAAAGTGAGTTCTTCTTTTGTAATCATACTCTGCAAAATATGTATTTCAACATGCAATCTTTTCCAATAACGCCATCTATCGAACTCATAATATATTTAATTTAATAAAGAATCTATTGATATAAGCTTTAAAATAAATGTAAGTATTGTCAATCTTACTTTTAAAAAAAAATAAATAGTACAATGATTGGTTGTTGGTTGCATGGGATATGAGTCATGTGTTTTTTTTGCTTCATCATTCAACCATGTGCACGACTTTTAATGAGCAGTCAAAGGTAGCAAACATCTCAAATGATTCCTATTAGTTTTTAAGAGATATTTTGACGTATATTTGACTTAATATTTTAGGTTCAAATCGAAAATGAAAATTTTAATAATGATACGAAAAATGCTGCATATGAATGAGTAGAAAATGTTCTTTGCAATGGATACTAGTCTTGTGTTATTTATCTTTACATTTGTTTATTAACCGACTGAAAAGTTCAAATAAAAAATACAATATTGCCAATTTGATATATTAGATATTATGTATTAATAATGTTTCCAAAGAACTAAATTTAAATTCATTCAAAATGGATTATACAAAAATTGAAACATACTTAATTTTAATCAATGTAGGAAAATCTTATTTCCAGAACAAGAAAATAATAAACTATGCTTTATAATTTTCTTAACAATGACATTTATACACGTATCAATATTTAGTTTAGTCAATAATTTAATCTTCGATATGATTGAGACATTCTTTTGAAATATGTTTCAAACATTATATTAAAACTTGTTTTCCATAGAAAAAAAATTTAATTTTCAAACGAGATATTTCTTTACGATTTTATCACTCTCAATGTCAATATGATTATTGAGCAATATACACCAAATATTCTTGCACATTATCTTTCACTCTTCATTGGTTGTATCTTCATATAAAAGTTTAATATGGTTCTGAAGCTAAAAATTTAGTTCTGTATGTTATACGAAAATTATTTACAGCAGATAGTCATATTGAACAAGCAACATGATATGGATATAGTGATGATATATTAAAAGCAATAATCTGTGGTGAAATGATTAAATGCTAATCAACAATAATTTTCATGAATATTTTCATATTAGTTATAAAAATAATGATAAATTTCAAATGTCAAATACATAGGATACTACAAAAGCTTTTCGTCCAGTTCTTCTGAAAGCTGTAATTGGAGGACAAGTATTCTATTATAATGTTTAAATATATTAAGGATTATGTGCAAAATTTCAGACTTTCATGTCTTACACGTGGTTGTATTTTTTCATTTCTTTCAGATCATTTTCACGCCATTTTTTATATAAATTTTCAACTTTTACGTGAACAATTTCGTACTACGATTTTATACGACTGAAAAATTGATTTAAGACACAAGGGCAGCTACTCCTGTTTAGTGTAAACATGGGAGGACCAAGCACCTTCAGATCACATAGTCCTCGGTTGGTTTCATGAGTTCCAAGGAAGCCATTTTAGTGTTGAAAATTCTGCTTATACAGATCATTCTCAAACATCTGTCAACCAAGAAATGGTTGATGCTGTACGAACAAATAGGGAACACTTTTGATAATAATTTTCCAGGAATCAATTCAAGTATTCATGATTATTTGAATTTACGCAAAGTTTTTACTCGTGAGGTGCCACATTAATTAACCGATGATCAAAAACAGTGGCGTATTCAGTTTTGACGTCATTCACTAAAGAAATTTGAAGAAGATCAGTCCTGTTGTGTATTTGACATCATAGCTGCTGATGAATGCTAGTTCTATCATTATGATTCCGAAACAAAAGAGCAGTCAAAAATTTGAGTATCAAACACTGATTTACGTCCAAGCAAAATTCATTGAAACAAAAGTTCAGATTATGAAATCTGGTTTAATCAGGTCGGTGTAATTAAAAACAGGTGCAACGCTAAATGCAAGCTGGTATGCCAACACCTGTCTAACATAAGTATTCAAAACTGTATCAGAACAACAACAAAAAACGGTCTTTGATATCTTATTTTTCACGACGATAATTCAAGACCTCATCGAGCTTGGATTGTCAACAAATTTTTGGCCGAACATCATGTAGAATCATATTGAAATCCTTCATATTCTTGAGATTTGAGTGCCTGAGATTTTTCCATATTTCCAAAACTCAGAAGTTAACAACGTGAACTTGAGTTCGACGACGACAACGCATTGTTCACTGATTTAGAACAAGCCATTGACAGACTCAGAAAAGAAAACTTTAAAAACTGCTTCGAGGAGTGGTTTATTCGAATGCACAAACACATTGATTCTGAAAGACAGTACTTTGAAAAAATACATTAAAATCAGCTTTTGAATGTTTATCCTACAGATTGCCGGGAAATCTTTTGTAGCGTCCCATGTAAATCAAAAACTTTCATTGTTCTTTTGAAATTTTTTTAAATTAAATTGGATAAAAAAGAATAAAAAATTACTTATTTTAGATAACAAATGTCAAGTTTTGCATTTATTTTTGATATAATTTTTTCATGTATCATAACACTTATATTTCTTTATCGTTGTGGTAATTATCGTCGACAACATCCAATAACAACTAGTGCTGTATTTATTGCATGGTTTTTTTCAGTTCTTATAGTTTTTATTCTTCCACTTGATATTTCATTGGTGTGACAAATAACTCTTTTTTTTAAATTGTACTTTTGATTATTTTCAATTTTAGGCGACTTATCGAGATTGTTTGTCACATGCAGCAGCAACAGTAAAGCCATTAATTAATGGTTCAATTGATGTGAGGATTTATTTTCATGTAAAAAAAAAAATATAAAGCGAAGAATATTTGTAGAACAAGTCACCAAATAATGTATGTCCTCAACCATGGTCCTATGTTGATCCGCACTCATATGTAGTTTTATGGCGTATTGTCTATTGGACATCACAAGTTCTTACTTGGTATTATATAAAAAAAAATGATTCAGATAAAAAAATTAATTCTATTGTTTTTTTTAAGGCTTATTTTACCATTAATGCAATCATTTTGTGAAACAGGTTAACAATAATTCGATCATATGTTTATGTAGTTCTTTTTCTATTTGAAATATTTTTAGGAGAATTTTCTATTAAAGGAAAAATTCAATATGCTATTAAAGCAAATTTAATTTTTTATGGAACACTTTTACTTATATTTATTATTCTTATTATTTATGTAGCAACTAAAGTGACATTAAATTCATCAAATTTTACGGTAAAAGAAATCTCTCTAAATATAAATAATGAGGAATCGATCAGAGAATTTAGCAGATCTTATTCTCTTTTTATGATTACCAGTGAAAAGGCAATTTAAAAAGAAAAATATTGTTTTTAAAGTCTTCAGTGGAGTTAGCATAGTGATTGTAAGTCATTGTCTATGATTTTATGCATAATGGATTATTCACAAATCGCGAGTTTTGATGGAGAAGTAGAATCATGAATATTTTACTAAGGTCATCAGAAGCAAACAGTACTTTTTGTATTAGTGGCGAAGCTAGAATGGATAAGGCTGAGAGGAGCTGAGCCCTCTGCTACAAGTTTTTTATGGCTTCGTCACTTTTTTTAATACTTGTGATCTATCACTGCAGAACCATGCCTTTTTTCGTCCTTGCTGTGATCCCAATGAATGGAAGAGTTACAGTTGGGTAATCATATAATTAAACCTCATGAAAAATAGTTTGCTTATTTTTTGAATATGAGTGAGATAAAATATTGAAATTCAAGAAAATATTTCAACGAAAAAAGTCAGCCGGTTTAAATAAGGTGCCTGTAATTCAAAATCTGAGTTATACTTTCTTCTTGGCGTTTTTCTCATGCTTAGATAGACTTCGTCGATTTATTTCTGAGCATTTTGTTTTTGAAGCAAAAATTCGGAAAATTAGCTTAACAAAATCTGAAAAGCCAATAAAAAATTGAAGCACGGCAACAGTGTCAAGTTTCGGTAATCTCACTATTTATCTGAGTATTTTTTGATATTACTAGCCATATGATTACGAAAAAAAAAAATTATCGAGAATTTTTGAAAACTATTGTTTCATCGTTAAGAAAATCGATTTTCTCAATATGATAATAACACGCTATCAGCATAGGTGCATATTCAGCGATTTTGAATAGCAGAACTTCAGCTCTAGATGATAGCTAAACTAGATTCAAAATCAACGTAAAAATGTGTATTAAGCAGTATACTCAATACTTAAAACTAATTTTCGTCAAATTGCTACCTTGGGAAAACCATAGGTTAGATTCTTCGAAAATAACAGTGTAAGGATGTAAGAATTGAAATTTGACAAAAACTAGTTGTAAGTGTTCAATGTACTATTCGATGGAGATTTTCATGATGCATATGAATAGGAGGTTTGTTTCGTTTAAAACTGAATTTCTGACGCTCGAAATGTCTAAATAAGAACCTGTGCACACGGTGTTTCACTGTCGTATCGAAAAAAACGATCTTCACAACAATGAAACAATATTTTTCGAACATTATGCATAATTTTTTTTTCTTTACTATATCATGAGTAATATTTTTTAACAATTCGAGTAAATATTGATGCTACCAAGACTTGATGCCGTTGGCATGCTTCAAGTTTTCTTGACTTTTCTGACTTTGTTTTAAACTATTTTTTCGAGATTTTGTCTCAAAAATAACATCGTTAAAGATAACTCGACGAGCTCTATCCAATCATGACAAAAGAAGCTACTGCTCAAATTTCGAATCGTCAAAACATCACCTACTGTTTCTTCGTTCAATAAAGTTCAATTTATATTTCAAAAGTAAGACCCAGAAACTCTATCTTAGAGTAAAAAGAGAAAGATTGAAATTTACTATGACAAGAACACCTTTATAGGCATGATGAAATTGCCTATCATCACGAATCGATCACATGTTGACCCGTTTTACCATTTAACTGTTGGACACATAATCAATATTGTATCTCAAATCTGAAATGGCCAAATAATTGATGACATGTTTTTTGGAAAAAACTCTTGCTATGCATATTAATATATGATAAACTAAACAAACAGAATATCTAATTATTAAATATATACTAATAAATTGATTTAATTGTAGGCAACAATAGTAGCAGCAAGTACAACTTGGGGCCTTTTTCTTCTTGTTTTAATGCTTGGTTATGGTCTTGTTGAAGTCCCATTAAATATATATAATCATTCTAGAACAGTATATATGCTTGCACATACACAATTCAAATTAGCTAAAATTTACAATGAAAAAATTAATGTGGAAGAACGTTTAGATTCTCTTGTTGATGATGTTACAAAATTTTGTATGGAAATAAAAAGTGATGATCCTTTAAGACGTGAGCTTGAACAAATAATTAAAATCGTTCCTGAACAATATTCAAATCGGATTAAATTAACAATGGAAGATTATGAAAATAATCGAATAGCAGTAACAAATCGTTTTCCTGATTCAGAAACAGAAAAACAATTAATTAAATTACATGAACGTTTAAAAAAATACATACATGTTCATCATCGTGTCCAAGTATTATGGACAAGAACGATTAATGAAGCTTTTTATTTAGAAGATATTCTTAACAATGAAAAAAATTCTAATCATGAATTTATTAAACAAAATCCATATCCACCATCATGGTTACGAAAGAAATTATTTGATCAACATTCTAAATTAGGTAAAAATTTCGATGTATAATTAGTCTGTGAAAATACATACACGATTTAAAATAGATAAATGTTAATTGCAAATAGTAAAGTTTATTTTAATATTCAATGGATTCAGATGAAATCTTCTTGACTAAAATCAATCTGGCTTTGGAAACAATTTTTTTCGTTATAGACAAATTCCAGATGTGATTTTCATACTATTGAATTTTCGATCCAACTTTAGGTATTTACCAAAAAATTAAGTAACGAAACTTCTGCCTGATATCTTGTTCATAGATAGATCTGATGATTATGGGAATATTCTGAAAGGTTTCAGTCGAAAAGAATGTTCCGTTATCCAGATGTTAGTATTTTTGAAAAAATCTATCTTCATGAGCTATATCCAATCTTTATTTCCTAATGTAAATTGCGGACTTCAATCGCTTGATATAGAGAACACTCTTTTTTTTTAATTTTAGAATGGTATACATACTGTCTCATACGCCCATGGGCACTGCGTCTTGCCGGCATCATACTTGGTATCCTATCAATATTAGTTATTTGGTCTGAAATGACATTTTTCAGTACCAAACCAGTTTTATCCATCTTTGCTCAATGTGTAAATACTGCTCGAAATCATTATTCTTATTTTACTATGGAAGTACGATTATCATAATAATATGTGTAAATTAAAAAATTCAAATTTTCTTTTGATAGGTATTTTGTTGTTTAAGTATTGCATATTTATGTTTTTGTGCATATTATACAATATTCCATATTCGAGTATTAGATTATTTTTACTTATCACTTTATCATTTAACAGATGAAAATAGTTTAATATTTGCTGCAACATTTTTATGTCGTTTAACAGCTCCTTTAAGTTACAATTTTCTTGGTATGATACATTTAGATCAAGCCATTACAAATAAAACCGATCATGAAGAAACAATTTTTACATTAGTAAATAAAAGATGAGATATCAATAAAAGATATTTTATGTTTTTTCTCTTTCAGATAATGGGCCATTTAACTGCAATACCGATTGTATCACTTGGTTTTAATTTTTATTTTCCTATGTTAATATTATTATTAAGTATTGGAACTTATTTTCGACTTGGTTCAAGATGTTTACATGCATGTGGTTTTGAACAATTTCTTGACGATGATGAGGTATCATCTGAATGTGTTGCTGATGGAAAAGATTTAATGAACAAAGGCAAATAATAAAAATTTTCTTCGTTCTAATTTATTCTTTTTTCTTAAGAACGTCGAAGTTATGGTGGTGCCAACGACTTATCTAACACAACAACAGCTTCACAACGTCGAGACAGAAGAAGAGAGTTAGAAGTAAAATATGGAATTCGGTCAACATCAGCTATGACAGGAAATAATTTTTATTGTCAAAATGTAAATAGTTTAGGTAAGGAAGTTTTTATTTTGAGAATTTTTATTACAATATGAATTTTGTAGAAACTCGTCCATTACAATCAAGTGATAATGATGATGAACCTTTGTTAAATCCATTACCTAACACGGCAGCTCGTTCAGGTAAATAATTAATTTTAATTTTAAAGTAATAATAAGTTATTCCCATAGTTACAAGATATATTCGAAGGTAATAAACAAAAAAAATCAACTATTTTTCACTTCTGTGTGTGTTTTATCGCTATGCTATTTTTCAGTGAATAGAAATAGACAAATTTGAACGTTTGCTTGCTTCTTTTGAAAATTTGATTTCAAAATTTCATTCACTTGTTGATCACTTGAAATTCTGTAGAAAAAAACCTAGTAGTTATAGGATACGTTTTTGACGAAGAGTTTACCCTGAATCAATGGTAAAATATTTTCCAGTGAACATTTGATCGATCGATCAACGGTTGAGAAAGATGAATAATTTGTATGATCACTTTCTAAGAAGTATTTTGAACAATACTTCGCTATTTTTTTTTCGATTATAATCTTTGACTAAAATATCGTATAGTAGAAAATTTTTACCATCAGAAGGAAAATACCATTTTATAAAAGTTAATACAATAAGTGACTGATAAAGTATAAATGAGTTTCAATTTTAAAAAAGTTGGATGTCTATGCAAGAGAATATTATCTATCATTCAAAACAGTGAAATGACCTATCTTTTTTCCAAGACCTGGAAAATTAAAAAGAATTTCATTAGTAATTTTGTATTTCTTCATCGATTAGCACCGTGTTCATGCTTAGATATACTTTCCTAAATTAAGTTCGATATTCAATTAGTTGCAATGCCATGAGATGGCTGGAAGAAGTTCAGTCTTCCTCCATAAGTTTGACGTTCCTGTATTATAACAGAAGAATATAACTCATGTTCGGATTTAAAAGGGGACTGAGACCCTTGTCCCTACAAATCTTTTCTGGTTCCGTCACTTTATTTAATAGGATAATTTGGCGAGGTAATATACCATAAAATCTGTTTCTTGACAAAAATGAGCTAGAATCAAAACTAAATCTATAAAATAATATTCACAATCAACTACATTCGATGACTGAGCGGTGAAAACAGAAATCCATCTGGTGTTTCTTAGTACAAGTAAAGAAACTAAGGTTCAGCACAATCGCTTTTGCCAAGTCACAGTTACGGGTTTATTTCTGACTTCTTTTTGTTTGCTTAGTTCTTCGCACGCATGTAGAATCTTTATAAAAATTGTTGATTTGATACATGTATGAGCATTATTTTCCTTTGACGATTGAAACTGAAATCATCTAGCAGATCTCTTGAAAGAATTCATCTTGAGAAAAATAGTCTTCTGTGATACCTTCTGTTTCGAATTAGTGTTTTTCTTCTTCAACTGACAGCAGTACCCACAATAGAGATACCTTTGAAATTCGATAGCAATATACTTGAGTTTCAGAGAATTTAATTTATTAAACAATGAGAGGACTTGAAGCACTGTTACACACAACCCTACTGAGCGAGATTAAATAACTCTATCACACACAACTATAATGTGGGTGTTCTAAACATTGGATTCTTTTTGATTTTCTTGCATCGCTAATTTTTATACAGTGAATATGTTTCTCTGCTGATGTGTGCTAAGAAAATATCAAGATCCTTCTTTATTATTTTGTTTTTTTTTTATTGAACATTTTTATTTTAGTTTCTTCTCATCAAAGCAAGCCGATTACGAACACATACACTAATATTTAATTCTCCCAATTTGATGAAAAATTTGCTAGTTTTTTTGTATATTTTGTCATCTCAATGTTCTTTGTTTGCAGCCACTCATAAATAATAAACAGAACTATCGTACTTTTTTTGCATTTTTTTTGTATCCTGTCGTCATTAAATACACATAACAAAATGTTATTCTATTTACTTTTTGTCAATTCTTATCTATTTCTTTATTACCGTATTTGTGATACATTGGCCTTTTTTCGTGTTGAAGATGAGTGATCCAGTGGATAATAAAACAAATAATTTAAAAGCATTACGTGCTGATGTTGCTGAAACAACAGATGTTTTGAGAGTAACTGTTGATAAATTAGTTGATCGAGGAGATAGATTAGATGCATTGAATGCACGAGCTGAAGATTTAAGTTCATCATCATATCATTTTCATGGCTCGGCTAGACGTATTCAACGAAGTATGAAATGGCGCAATTATAAAATTACGATTTTTATTAGTAAGTTTTGTTTTATCGATGAATTAGAAATAGGAAGTATGCTTCTTTGTTTTTAGTTGCGGTTGTCATCATTGTAATTGGTATAATTGTATTAATTGCAGTTCATCCATGGAAAAAAAAATAATTAAATGATAAGAAAAATTAATCGATAATTTTCGGAAAAGAATAATATTTTTTTTAATATGATATTGCGTTTCATTTTCTGTCTTTCAAACTATGTATGGTTTTAAATTACACTACTTTTTACTATTGTGAATAAAAAAAGAAAGTTAATGAACGTATGCTTTTCAAAGAATGATTCAAAAAAATGTAAAATATAAAAACAGGTGTTATTTCTCTTGCAGGTAATTAACATATAAAGTACAAGAAAAGGTTGCTTGGTCTACTTTAGAAATTAGAAAACTCGCTGGACCAAGAAGTTCCTGCATTAGGTTTTGTTTATATTACAAGAATAATTGTACATAAAATGCAAACGAGTTATCTAGATCAATGAAAGGAGAATAAATAATGAGAAAAGGTACTATTATGAACTAAAAAAATTAGCTTTTATTAACAAGTCGATTTGATATTGCATGAGCTTGTATTTAACTGGGTGTGGATGTCGATGCCGTTGCCGATGTTCCTGATGGCTGCACTCATACCCTACATTGAATCCCACACCCACAGCTATAGTCACACTCTACAATCGATATCATACCTACATCCATACACACAAATTATTAATTTATTGAATAAAAAATTAGTTAACTGAGCAGACATAATAGTTAGTAAATTATATACTGTTAGTTTAATTTATTTATTCATAATTTGTAAATAATACTGAGCGTTTACACAAAAATACTTTGCATTAAATGTGTTCTCTCTGATATATATAGATCATCATACAGATGACTAAAATTAATAGAAATATTCAATTCGTAGCTTTAATTTTTGTAAAAATGTCGAGATGACAATATTGCAATAGACAATACCATAAATGGAATCGTATTTACATAGATAAATTCAATCTGAATGCAAGTTATACATAGCTATAATACAGGCAAAGAGAAATGATGACAAATGCTATGTTCTATAATTCATTCATAAAATATATTGTAGTTCTTGATTTATTAATAATAGCTTAAAGATATTACTCAAGTAGACAAGAATTTCTAAAAGCTCGTTTCAACATTCTAATCACGGTTTTTGTTTGAGCGTTTTCACGTTCATTCCAAAAACATAACAACCAGCTATCTTCATCATCACCGATGCGTGAAGACTCTTAAAAGAACAATTTTCGCATCTGGAAAATGTTCAAAAAGTTCTTACACTATTTTTGATATACAAAGCGCACAAAGAAGTCATTTTTATCTACAAAACAGGTCAGAATATTGGAGAATTTTTTTTCATGCTTTTCAATGCATAACTTGCCTTTCTCGACATCTTTGCGCTTTTTTGACAATCAAAATAACTGGTTGTTATGCTTTTGAATGGTCGTGAAAACGCTGAAACGGAAACCGCGACTAAGACGTTTAAAAGAATTTTTAGAAATCCTTGTCTGCTTGAGTAAATTAAAGAAAAGTGACGGACTGGAAGATAATGTGTCTTTTTTAGAGTTCTACTTCTGTTCTACCTAAACATAAACACGAAGATAGGATTAAAGCATCGTGTTAGAATATACTTGAGAATTGTTTCTTGTTCGTTAGTATACAAACAGAAAGTACAGAACAAGAGAATAACACATAATGTTCGATCATATATAGCTGATACATGTTTTTATGGAAAAACATTTAACCTTACTGAAATTATTTGGAATGCACTCAAATCCTAACCAGTTTCTTTATATTGCTATATAGAGGTAAGGATGGTATCAAAGGTTGCACTCTGTATATGCATTAAGGATAGTTTGTAGTCATACGTTAATGATATCAGCTGTTCACATAGAATTTTTGCTTTTTGTTTTGGAGTAGCTCAAAGTACATTCGAGTCTTCTGAACTCTGTCTGGAGTCCATCGAAATTCATTTTAAATATATTTCAGGAACACAGAGTTTAATATCATAGTTATAATAATCGATCTCATTCAACTGTCTTTAACATGATGTAGCAGCTGAATGTGACTTGTTTGTTAATTTGAAAAATTTTCTTATTTGAATTTTTAAATGAATTTGTTAGAGAAGAATAAAGACAAATTTTTTTAAATTTTTTATCTTGTTGAGACAGATCTTAGTATTAATTCTCTTTTGGTATACTTCTGGCTCGTTATGTATGTTAAATATACATGCAAATTGTTTCGATATTTTTCTTTTTATATCTATTGATTATTATTATCTTTCTTAGTTAATCGATGTAATTCACATAACAATTGTTTTTAGACCGTTGAGATTTCGTCGTGCAGTAACCATGTAAGATATGAATGGTCACACTAAGGACGAATAATGCGTCGCCATGTGAAGGAACACGTCAGCTGTTAATTATTCTTTGCTGCATATTAACATTTTCTAAATGCCGTTGAATTTTCAAAAACAAATTTCAGATATGTACGCGTCATATTTTACGATCTCAGATTTTTTCGATTGGAAACTAAGCTCAGGTGCTCAGAACAAATGTCTGACTTGAATCATGACTCATGCATTAACTGAAAGAAGAATTTGCCATGACAACTGAACGAGTAAAGAGCAATAAATCAGCAGTTGCTCTTCATGTAGTCAGCTGTCTTAAGAAAGAGAAACTGTTGTATTATTTAAGAATCTTGATTTGATCATAGGTAACTCTATGCAAACAAGTTGAGTGTACAAATAGTAAAATGTTAGCAGGTCCAAAGAAACGTTATTATATACATGAAGTTCTATTCGTAAAATTCAGCAAAATCTCCTAGCATAGAAAAAGCAAATATTGATAATAGATATGAAACAAGAAATGGAATATATCACGAATTAACATGATACAGTCAGAAAAAGATATCTTATCATAAATAAACAAGAAAACTAATGAACGAAAAAACCAAGAGAGAACAGTAACAAAAACACCAGATAGAAGAAAGAAAGAGAAAAAACCAGCATGTGGACAATATCCGTCACATATTTGTCTTATAGTATACCTTAAATACGTGCCATACCAGTCGTCTTATTCAACGAAATCGTTGCAAACGTTTAAATTGTGCTATGAAAAATGATGTACTAAGTAATTAAGGCAAAAATGCCAGCTTTTTGTTTCTCGCTATTGATCATTTTCAGAAGTACAACATATATTGACAAATAGAATCAATACTACTGAATCAGAATTATTCATCTGTGCCAACACGAAGTCTACTGGCAAAGAGTGAGTCATTCTTACAAACGCATGTTTCCCTCTCTCGAAAGAGACAGACTTCAAATGAAAGAACGAGATAAAAAAAAAAGCTTACGCTTGTACATAAAGGTAACAAAGTGTGAATGCAACTCACTGTTTATTGGAATCTTATAATAACTGGGTCATTTCTTACTATTGTCTATGTTACAAAACTTAGTTAACAATACTGACATTAAAACACAAGATTCGATATCTTGTCTTACTGAATCGTGTCAAATGTAAGTTTCTATAGAGTAACTATCTTTAAAATTGAGTGGATACTTCAAAAAAGAAACCAATGGATCACTAAGCATCTGAAAAAATTGCTCATTAGAAAAGTATTTCTTAAAAAATCATAAATCAAATTATACGCTGAAAGAAGTAATTTTTTTGGAAAATCTTCTGAAACTTTAAGTGAAAGAAGAGGTTGAAAGAGGAACAAATACAAAGGTTATGATTATTCCTGAAGTTTTAAATTACGTAGCAAGAATTGCAAAAATAAATTCAGATTATTTGTCACACTTATAGATCAAACGAGAATGGGACGAAATTCGAGCAATCATGTGCCGTATGTATGGAATCAAAACCATTTGAAGCCTTTGAAACACAGTGTAGCAGTGACTGTACACATCCAAATCGAACAATCTGTGATAGTTGTATGTATGAATATGTGCGTAATAATTGGAATATTGGCTCCGATATTTATTGCCCGGAATGTTCTACTCCTTTGTCACATATTACCATCAAACTAATTCTTCTCAAGTACGATGACACTATTCTCTACGAGCGTTATACCCTATTTGAACTTAACAGAGCTCTTGAACAAAATTCTGAATTTGTTTGGTGTGCACATGGCTGTGGTTCAGGTCAATTGAACGAAGGTGCAACAATGAATAACACAATTCAATGTGTTAATTGTCATCTATTAACTTGTTTTACTCATAAATGCCCATGGCATGAGGGAATGACATGCGAAGAGTACGATATGCCTCGCACCGATGGACAATTACATGCTAGTCAACGCTGGATCAATGTGAATACCAAAGAATGTCCTAAATGTCATTCTCACATTGAAAAAAATGAAGGTTGCGATCATATGACTTGTTTCAAATGCAAGCAAGAATTCTGTTGGGAGTGTTTTGCGCCTTATTCAGGTATAAAAAGACATGGTGCTTATTTACATAATCGTAAATGTAAACATTATCCTGCTACGGAAACAAGAAGTATATTCAAGCGTATAATTGATCTTTTCTAGAACTCTTTCGTTTTTTCTTCTTCTTTAATTCGGACACTTTGAATCAATAAAAAATGAATGAATTTCATTCACGCTAATTTCATTACTTCAGTATACTAATGGATACTTGGGTGCGACAAATAATACAACTCGTCATATCTTGAAAATGCGTATAGACCAACTAGAACAAATGCATCATGGTGGAAGTAGTAGCAATTATTTAAAACTAAATGGTGTAAGAGAGCTTTGAAATAGCTTATTGAATCTAGTGAAAGAAGATTCACTAATAATTTCTTAATGCTAAAATAAAATTTGTTTTACTTCGATCAAGTCCCATTTTCTTTTCTTTTCAAACATTAATTTTGTATCATATTGTTGTATCTTCGATACTATATTTCAAGAACAATTGAATATACTTTCTCTGATTTTCTTTCATCAGAATACACATAATCATTAACATTTGATATAATTTTTGCTGTCTGTCATATTATCACTAATTGTGCCAAATGTAATCATACTTATTTTTGGCAAGCTATTGTTGGTCTTCTTTAATGTTTCTTTCAAGAATATTCTGCTATTTGCATTTATCGTCTACAGATACATCTGCAATACAAAAAATATGTATGAAACGGGTGAAAGCTAAAATTCTCACAGAGATATTCGTTGTCAACTATAATTTGTATATAATAATATAATTAGTTTATTAGTCTTTTACTCGTCGTTTCATGATTCCTGATTCAATAGACTTTGTGCACGTTAAAGTTTTAGCACCTAACTGTGTCGGCTATTGAAATCTGTGCCGGTTTTTTAAGCAATCAAAATTACTTGCGTTCGTCATACATTTTTCAAGTAACAAAGGAACGTCTACAACTGTTAGACACTAATTGAACTCAGTCCAGATTTAGTATAACTCAGAAAAGTTAGTAGAAACCTAAAGGATTCATATCCTTACTATGTACTTACAGAAGATGACTGCTTCGTTGAATTTTCGACTTCAGATAAGGTACCTGATAAAAGATCGAATAACGTGGATTTTCATCTTGAGATGCTGATTGATCAAGAAATTTGCATATATCAAAACAACAACTTTTTTGATCATTAAATATGTTGATGTAAAATCTTCGTTTTAAGTGAAACTTTCTGAAAAGGCTAATACTGATGAGATCTATTCATGATTAAAACTTCAGGTCAAACCTATGTCATTTGATCTTTCATTAGATAGCTTGCCTAAAGTGAAAAATTCAGCAAAATAGTCATAACCTCTAGAAGACAAGGTATGGGCGTGAATGATTTTGGACTTCTATTGCTCCGTCCGAATAATATATACAAATGAACTATAAGCTCGACCGGTATTCGACAATTGCAGACGTTTCCTTGCAAGAAATGTCAAATAATTTACAAACCGAACCATATCGTTTCATAGAAAATTGTCAGTCGATGCAACGCTTCTATACTCTACTTAATCATCATACATACGTTAAGATCCGACAGATTATACTTTGATTAGATTCGATCTTCATATTGGTTGCAGAATACATTTGCCATAACTTTCTATATTTGATATTCAGTTAAATATCTTCGACTTTGATACATAATAGACAGACTGTTTTCATTAGTTCTCAAGTCATAAAAATGAATCAATAATGCTTGAATATTAGTTTAATAATTGTTTCAATATATGCAACGTTATGAAAGACGAATACTTAAAGAAGGCACCATATGGATAAAAACGAATCAATATTTCATATTCTCACTGTTATAAATATTCTTGTAATGAATTTAAAGTGAATGACCTATTTAATAAAACAAAAGTACCAAAATAATGTAATATTATAGGCTATTGGTGCAACCAGATTGAATCCATTCATAAATTTTCAATAAATTCTTTTACGTATATATTGTTTTTTAATATTGTCAGTATTATTGCATCTACTTCAGTTGCCATCTGTGTCCATACTTCATCCATTTTCTCGTATATTCTATATTATTAATTTTCTCGTATAAAAGCAAATATCAATTTCAATAAAGTATAGAGAGTCGAGTTTTTCGATTTTATACGCGTCGTAGACTCTTTTTTTGTGCTACATATCCAATACTTTCACGTTCATTAATGCAATTCATGGCGACAAAACGTTCGCCGATATACGCATCTTTACTTCTTTTGTTCATGATGGTTGTCGAGTAAGTTTTAAGCTTACGAAATAATCACTATTTCAATTGATAAAACTACAAATATTTCAGTTCTCAAATTTCGGCAACATCATCAGCAAAACATATATGTACATCAATAGAATTGGTTAAGAAAAATGATAATTGTCCTAATCCTTCCACATTTAGTATTATTGATGAATATAGCAAAAATGATACAATATGGAAACTTGATTTTAAAGTATATATATTTTAATTTTTGCCACTTGATTTATACATTTAAAAAACATAGGTTTTTCAACAAGCATCAATAATGAATTCAATACAGCTTCTTGATGAAATTCAACGAAGATACGTCAATGCTATTCCTTGTCCATATACTCGGTAAGTTTTATTTAAAACTTATTTTAAATCATATTTTGTGAAACACAATCTAAAGGAAGAATGACGTACCTTAACGGTATCTCTCCTCTTTCTTCGCCATTTCTGGTTCTCGAAGAGGATTCAACAAACCAGTTGAAATTTTTATCACAAATACAGCACCTAAAATATGAGGATACAGTATTCGAGGAAAGAAGATTTAAACGAAGTTTTCGCGATTTTTTCGGAAAGCTTTGATTTTCTCTAGGACCACATTGAATCTGCCCACAAACCCCATGTAACTTTGTTCGATCGGTCTCAAATTTTTTTCGAGATACCTGAAACTATCTCAGAAGTCAATTTAAGCTTTTCCAAACATCGTACTTCTTTTTTTATTAAAGCAGATACGTAAAGGTACGAGTGTAAAACGGGAACTCTATTAATTCGGACAGGAAAGTTAAAAATGAAAATAATTGATTTTACCTCTGGAGAATACATCTAAGTATCTGTGGTCGAGATTTCAATTCGTTCAGATACAGTTAATGAGGAAAAGGTAGTAATCAGGCTCGATGTGATCCTATAGAAAAATAGGGTGTCTTAAAAACCACCAAACATGGTGTGCAAAAATTTTTTCGTGAACACGTGTCTCCTTAAGTTAGGTACACTATCTGTGTTAAGAATTTCATGCGGATCGACTGTGCTCTATTGAAGAACGAGAAATGATCAGAAAAGTGGAAGAACACTCGTAATAAGCTGTTAAGAACTTACTAGGGAAACTGAAGAATTCTAAGAAATCTAAGGGAGTTCTAGAAACGTAATGGACTCCTGAACTTCAGGCTTACTCTATTCATCCTGGATATTTGTTCTACCAATAATACATAAATATTGAGCTTAACCCTTTGACGGGCGACTTTTGAAAGCTCAAGTTTTATTGGTGCAGTCAGGTAGAACTTCGTCTGGATTATCAAATATGAAGCTCAAGACAACAATAGCAGTACATTTCATGTACGCTGTGCTCATCAACAGCTACCAAAGCAACCACGAATTATAAAAACCTTAATAAAGCCATAAAAACGGATATCGGCATGGCCGCGCATCGGTCACCCTACCATGAGGAAGGTTTATACGCATTAAAAATAAAGAAAACTCTCTCGAAATCCAAAATTTCACTACTAACAGATTATGAAACACGTTGCAACTTCTGAGATACGTTGTTGATTGGTTATATAAACCGTATTTTTCCTCCAATAAGTTTCTGAAAATGGATTTTTTGACGAATTTCACCAAAAAACTATCCGTTCTGAGTCCCATTATATTTCATTTTTTGTCCAAAAAACAGGCAGAATTTTAATGTCATTCTGCTTTGAACGTGAAGCTGATATTCTCGCGCGATAGAACTATCTCAGTACTATTCGCGGATACGAGAAATGATGGGTTTTCATCATGATAATTAAAAGCTGTAAGGTCCCTAACCGTCCCCATTAGAAAGTCAAAAAATAATGAAATTCCGTAACGAAGTGAAATTCCGTAACGGACAGTATTTACAGTTATTTGATTTGGTACAGTTATACTTTCTAGGAGATGAATTGATATTTTGAAAGCTGATGGGAAACTGAATAACTTTTATATAGAGCATTTATTTGTATGTCGTTATGTTACGTAGTAAAATGCTTAACTTCTGCATCACCCTAAAAAAAATTTCCATTTTATGAAATTCCGTAACGGTCAGTATTTGTTGAATAACTCAACTATGACTAGACAGAAATAGATAAAATTTTTACTGATAATAGATCTCAGCCATCTCTATCTATGATAAAAATTTTAGCAAGTTTGCCTTGATTTTTGAGAAGCTACAAGTGTCACAATATGAAAAAATGAAATTCCGTAACGCGCGGCCACGCCCATATCTTGAGTTTGATTGATAATTTGTTCACTGTTCCACGTCAAGCTGAAAGCTAGAAGGAAAAGTATACTTGTTCTCTCTTGCTGGAAGCCCATAACCTTCTGTAACAGACTGATCTTAAATATTGTTCTCAAACCGTAGGCATTATTTTCCATAATACCAACGATTTTCGGCAACTGCTGTTCAATAAAATTCCAAAAATTTGGAACAAATTCAGCAAATTTGCTTTTGTCATCATACTCGTATTTTGTATGAAGCAAATAGTGCAACGATCACGTACTATACAAAAGTCTCTATGGAGCTCAAAGTTGCAAATGGCACAGTAGTAGTCTATCTCGGATGCAAATTCAAGCACATACTCAACCTTCAGATTTGCTACATTCCGTATTGAAACTCCCTTAGAAGTGACGATTAGAGGCGAACTACTTCGAAACTTGCTTTTGCAGAATCGAGAAAACACCACTGTTTGAACTGAAATAGTCAAAAACGAATTCTATCTCTACAGGTGAATGTTGTTTCTACCAGAGTCATCATTCATAGTTTACTATAATGCTTTGATAAAATACAAAAAAGTGGGACATATACGTCCCACCGCCTGTCAAAGGGTTAA